GACGTACAGAAATGCTTTTACAACTACGAAATATTCGAAAGGGGCTAAGCAGCATTCCTGTGTTGTTTTGCCTGAAAGCATTCAGCCGATGGCTTACTGCTTTTCGTTTGATGGAAGTAGCTCTTTACCTTTCCTGCAGTCTTTCAGTTGATGGAGAAAGTATTTATGGAACCTCCAAAGAAACAAAGGAAAAAAAAATAATCTTTTCTTCCCTGACCCCGAATAAACCGGCAAGCTGCTGACATTGCTAGCCCAGCCTGCTCTCACAGAACCTATTTAAGAACTTCAGATGAGAGATCCACAATGGTTTCAAGTTTATACAAAAGGAGGGTCTATTTATCATCATTATCTTAATTCAATAGCAAATTACACATTCTTAAAACTGCCACCGCTCCGCTGTGTTGGATTAGCTGTGTAAACAGCAGCAAGCTGTGGTACCATCCAGCGATAACAGGCGGAGTACGGGCATGTTGGGTTCAGCACCACACCTTCATAAACTAGTTGTGATACAGCACTACAATTTGGGGGGCAGTGGCACATTCCTGCACTCTACGCTCAACTACGCCCTAAACTTATTTTATTATTGTATCAAGCTCTACATCCCACTGGCTTGCAGAGAAAGCAATGGGGAAGAGTTCAGCTGATGAAATCGTACACGCTTTCAGGCTTTTGAAGCTACAAGAAAATAACCAGTGATAATCCCCTCGTTTCAGATTTGCCCCACACCCCAAAGGTAGAAAATGCTATTCATCCTATGAGCAATACATGAGTGGCATCAACCGCAGCCTAGAGCCAACATTGCCGGGAAGAACAGGCAAGGCTGGTCCAGACCCAGGGAAGTGCTGCAAAGTCTCACTTGTGAGACCTGCTAAAATTCAGACTGCATAAAGCAGAAGAACAAATGGTAAGGAACACTTCTGCTCTTGCAGGAGGAGAAACACAGAGATCTCTTGCTAAAGATCAAGCGATTCCTTTTCTTCTAAATTTCTGAATTTTGGATCAGGCCCCAGAAGACTGAAAGACATCTTATAAATATCTTTTTCCTCTATGAAGAACTTCGGCAGAGGTTGGGAAAAACTATCCTCATGGTCATTTCTATTGGATTGTAGGAGACACTCTCTAAAAGGGCAGTGAGAGCTCTGTTGTTTGGATCATTTAAAATTCTAATGGGCAAACCAGAGAAGATAATACTGTAGAGGGCAATCAATCCCACAACAGCCCAATGTTCAAAGTATAACCAGAGAGGTTTCATCAAGAGCCACAATGGGATGAGAAATTTCTACAACTTTATTAATCAAAGAAAGTAATCTGCTGGAGAGGACTGATTTGTACCACAGCTCCTAGCAATGTTCTAATTATATTTAAAAGAACAATGAAAAACACATACACACATGGAATGTGTCATGTAGAAAAAAAAATATAAAAAATGACTAAGCACCGCAAGTCAGACTCAGTTTGTGGTCAGCTGCAAAAGTTACTTGGCTCTCTGTCATGGATAGCTGTCATAGTTTAACAAAACATTGATCTAAAAATGACAAGAACTTGGTTGCAGTCTCTTTCATAGAAGAAACATAAAACAAGAAGAGTCAAAACATATGTAGAACAGCCTGATAATGTTTGCCAGAACTCCTCCCACTACTATACAAACATGAAGCAAAACCTTGGAAGGTTTGAGAAATAAAGACGTTCTGGTATATTTGCCTACTCCCCTCTGACCCTGCTGCTCCTGCCTTGTGCTGGATCGTGGTACCAGCGCTCAGGGTGCACCTGAGACCATGCGCACGCCTCCGCTCTCAAAGGACTCCACAGTTCTTCCAGAATACTGTGAACGCTGGGCATATGGCAACGGATCCCTCCTCCCCCTCTTTGAGACATCCTTTTGGCTGGGGTATTTGGCAAACACTGACAATACTCTGAACTCCGTTAGAATTGTATTTTGGCAAGAGCTGTTCTTCCGATTGCATAATTCAAGGTTAGCAGTTTTACTGAAGCAGTCCACTCTTCACTTTCCTACTCCCCTAACCCTACCCCCATTTCCTCTGATATGAATATTTTTCCTCTCAGTCTGATGCCTCCAGAGATACAGCCAGCGTAGAACACCAGAGGAGGAATGTTCGGGCACATCTCTCCACATTCCTGTGTTTCTTATTCCCAGTGAACTGAAAGGCCAGGCGAAAAAAATGCGTTTGTAGAGT